GCCATCTACCTATCCCGCTCTCTATGAGTGTATTTTTAACAGTTATTTCAATAAAGCCTATGGGTACTACTTGTTGTTCTTGCCCCCCCCCCCACCTCTTGGTAGGGGATTTCTTGTAGCTCAGGCTATCCCAGAACTCACTATGTAGCTGAGGGTTAGCTTGAATTCCTGACCCTCCTGCTTCCATCTCCCAAGTCCTGGGTTTACAGATGTGTGTACAGATGTGTGCTGCTCTGTGCATGGCAGGCAAACACTGCCACAGCCTCAGCCGTCTCTAAGTGAGCATATGCTTGCTGGAGTGGTATGAGCGCTACTAATTCTCCATTACCAGGGTACTGGCTTCCTGCAGCCTGCACCAGCTTGTCACAGTTGCTTATAGAGAGCACTGCTTTAAAACGCACACCTTCAAAAACAAAACAACCTTCAGTCCTATGCCAGCAACTCCTGAGGTATGGTTGCTGTAGAGTGCTGCATCTATCTGGAAGTAATGCACACATGCTTTCTCTGCTGCCACAGACGACACTGCAATGTTTTATTTTTAAACTCCAAGCCTTTCTCCAAAATCAAAGGGAAACCAATCCATAAAATCCCTATCTTATCCATGATATGTAAATGAAGAACAAAGGAGTCAGGAAAAAAAAAAAAACGGGAGTGCACTGATTGCTCAAAAAATGTCATTCACAGATATAACAAATTCACCTTTAAAAACTCCACAGCTGGCTTGCTTTCGAGGCTGTAAGTTCAAGGCCAAGTGGGCTTACTTGTAAAACTCCAGCTCTGCCAGTCATTCCAAAGTGTGTGTCTGGAGTGAAAACTGAACTAGAACAAGGAAGCTGGTGCGAGTAAAGCTGGGATCAGGACCCGGATGTGTGATTGCTTTAAAACAGCACGATTCAGCAAACAGCGACAAGTGACCTCTTCTCACTCTGATCTGGTGATCTGCGTTAGTGACGTTACAATACCTTGGTCTTTCTGAATAAACAGGCATACAAAAACGTTAACTGTAAATGCAGTGTTGACTGCTAAAGGGCCACATGGAGCATGGCTCCCTGGGACCCTACAGTAATTAACATCATTAGAGACCAGGGCTATCTGGGGGAGCAAAGGTAATTGCTCCAAATTCTTCTCAATTATGTGCCTTTCTCAACTTGGTAGCAGCTAGTGAAGAGGGGTCAAACAGAATAACGGGGACTCTGAAGAGGAATTTTGCCACACCTCCTGACAGCCACATACAAATATTACGCAGAATTCACTTTGAAAATATATCCCATGCTTGAGGGGAAGGAGAGAAAAGCCAGCTTACTTAGTTGTGAGAAATTAAAACAGCTGGATTCAAAAAGGTAAAATTAATGTGTCAGGAAGTCAAATTAGGTCGCCCCTTGCAGGACAAGGAGCCTCCTCCTTTAAAAGCCTCTAATGAGGCACAGACCATAGCCACTCTCTCCAAGTTTATGTACTTTACAGTTTGCTTCAAAGCCATACAACATTGGTATAGCAGTATTCAGGGGCTTCATGGTTAGCTAAATCCACCTCAATTCCTTTGTATGTGAACACTGACAAAAATCAAATCCTGGCTGTTTGTAAACCCATACAAAAACATGGTGGGAGATAGAACAGACACAAATCTGTTGGTCTGAAAGACAGATGCGGATGATGGAAGAGTCATCCGATAGGATCAAATCATTCTAAATAATTAAACATGCATGACCATAACATGTCCACAGCAAGTCATACGTTAAAAATAAGGGCTTTAAAGGCATCTGAAATGGGGCAATAAACACCTTCCCTTTCCCTACCTAAAGGGCTCTCAGGGAAGATCACAGAGACCCACAAAGTTCCAAGCTCTCAGGACTCAGAGCTACTGCTTTGGGCAGCAGCTCTCTGGCTCTCTGGTACCACTCTCTCCCCAGGCATCAGGAGAGAAAAGGCAGGCTTCTCTGGGAAGGTGTTAACCATTTGGGCTACAGGGAAGACAAATGGAAGTTTGACGCTCAAGATGACCACAGGCTAATCTTATCCCAGCTGGGAACTTTCATATGTTAAAGAAGCTCTCTGCTAAGGATCTGTCCACACTGTGCTGGGACACCTTCTCATGGCTGTGCTTGAAGAGCCGGCGGCCTGTCATGGCTGTTTTTCCCCTGACTGCTCAATTTTACTGAACTAAAACTTTGCATTTAAAAAATAAAGGAGAGACCCATTCATAAGATGTCTGATAGAGACAGTTTTAGAAGGAAGTCCCAACTGAAACACCCTTGCAGGAGGAGAAAGGGTGGATGGGTGGAAGGCGGTTCTCCTGAATAGGTTCCATGATGCCTGGCCTGGCTTAAAGCAGGAGCAACCGCATATGGTTATGATGAAGTTTCAGAAGGGGCATCCCTGTGTGTGCCAGTTGGCCACAGCTGGGATTCTCAGGGTTGCAGTTAGACACAGAAAGGAGAGGGGCCCAGTTGATGCCTCTCCCACCCACAGATGTTTCTCCCCAGCTCTCACAGGCAGCAGATGCAATAAACCAGGATTTGTTTGTGATGCAAATCCAAGTCCCAGGGAAGCCCCAACCCTAAAGACCGAATGCAAATGGTCACCCAGCTCCTGACACCCTCTAAGAAGGGCCGCCATTGCTGATGTCAGCGACACAAACAGTCCTGCTGAGGGCAGAAGGAAGGAGGAAGACAGCAGAAGTGTGGTTAGGGTGAAGAAGAGAGACTGCCTTCCGGTTAAAATGTTTTTGATCTCAAGAACACTACAAACAGCTGTTAGGTATTAAAAACCAAAGATTGTAACTCACTTCAGTTGGACTCTAAAAAAAATTGACATTGCCTTGTGGTTAAAACTGAAAGGCTTCTGGAATTGTGCAAACTGCAGGGTCTCTCAATAAAACATACCTAACATGAATGCATTTTAGCATGTGAGAGGATTCAGCAGAGGCACCAGAAAATAGAATAACGGTTCTCTGAACACCGTCTACACCTAGTGACATTTACTCAGCCCACAAATCCTCCCTAAGCAATCAATGGCTGATACATGGGTGTCAACATTTTAAGACATACATAACAATAAATATCCAACCTATCGACATTTCAAAACTGTGCTGGGATATAAAGTAAGCAGGCAGGCGCGCACGTGCAGGCATACACACAAACACACACACCCCAGAAAGAATACACTGGAGGAATCCGAGAAGGCTACAGAGACCTAAGACAGAATACTAGCTTAAAGGGAAAAGGGTAATTGTCAATATTTGAAAGAGTTATGCATAAATACCAGGAAGTTTATTAGACTAATTTCTCCAATTTCTTGTCTGGGGAGAGAAGCAGCCCTTCTCCCCATGGAATAAACCACAATTCAGTGCAACTGTACTTATGGGAAAAACAAGCAGCCTTGGCAGTGAATTCCTATTACCAAAACTCTAACTTGTATGAAAAGATTATGTGTTGACCTTTTAGCCTTTCCACCAAATCTTCAACTGTTCCTTATCCAAAATATCCCCCCCAAAAAAACAAAACAAAACAAAACAAAAAAAAAACCAACAACAACAAAAACAAAAACCCTGCAAAACTGTTTTAAAAAAATCAGGTATAATTTGTCTCTCTGACTCAGCAAGTCTTCTATAAGTTTTAAAACCCAGAAGTATGTTGGGGATAATCTCTAAATAGTAGACTACAATTGCTTTATTAGTTTATCCACACTTTTGGCAGAGGAGCCTACATACTACACAGACATTAAATATCATTAACTATTTGAAATGTTTTAAAATAATAGGAGGGATCATTCCTTATAACATGAACACCACAAAAGCTCCAAGATTTGGTCCCCATGAGCTCCATTTCAACTGCTTTATAAAGATGAGAAAAACTGTGTCCCCTGCCCGAGTTTAGATGTCTGAAATTTGTATAAAAAAAAATTATCACGAAGTCTGAAATCACAAGGCCCACACACTCCATACACCTATCATTTCAACCATCAAGGGCTTAGACCATTAAAGATGGCCACAAGCACTCCAATTGACTACCAGCAACTTCCTCTCTGTTTCCTTAGTGAACCTCCCAGCTCTCAGATTCTGTCACTAAGGCCTCAGTGACACCCTTCCCCCAAGTGTTGCTGACTTCTCAGTTTGGGGAAGCATTAAGTCTCTCCCACTGAGACTGCAGATTGGCCCCAAGAAGTCACTGAGACCAATCCCTACATTTGCTTCCCTGGGGGAGGAATGGGGCTGGGAACAGGTAACTAATGACAACCTCTGCAGCTTCCTAAGAAGCGCGAGTACATACAGTAACCAGTACAATTGCATGTCCTCCGTCCTCTACAAGTTACTACGCAAGGCCTCCAACCCTGCCCCCATTAAAGGGAAAGAAACACCAAACGACAAACGTGAAACCCTTCATAATACTGAGCACACTAGCATAGTGCGCTTGTACGACACTGCATTTAGTTTTACAACTTCAAGTTAACTGGCCCAAAAGATTAAAAATGGCAACGACTTTCACTACTTGATCTTCAGATGATACTTTCCCAACTGACATGCCGTGAAAATGGCTCATCTGCCTTCCTTATAAACAATAGCTAATATGATAAAAAAAACAAGACATTTTCAGAAGCCAGAATAACAGCCTGAATGTCTAGGTCCAAATGAGCCCCTAAACGACCCTTAGTTGACTGAAAGATCCAATCCATTTCCTCCCCCCCCCCCAATCATCAGCATAGAAACATAGCTCTTATAAAAACCATAGGCTTGTTGACTTGGCTCCACATGGTTCCATAATTTGTGGTCCTCTACTTACTTATTCGTCTCAGCACGTTAGCCTAAATTTAAAAAATCCAAACGGGAGACATAAAGACAGCGCTGTCCTCAGGCTGCCATTCCTTACACAGCTCTTACCGAGTGATGACTAGTCACACACAATGAAGGCATTGCCAGTGTGCTTGAAGAAATAAGCATTCTGTTGAAACACAAATTAATTTGCACGTCTGAAAATAATTTTCAACATCAGCATGCTACTCACTGTCCTCGGGATGGGTGGAGAAAGAGATCCATTTGACATGTATGGGTCGCTACTCATGTTCGGCATCATTATGTAGCCAGAATAACTGGAGTAGGAGGGTCCCTTGTTGTACAGGCCTCCATCAGGATGCTTTCCTGGGAGAATCCAGATAAATAAATAAATAAATGAATAAAATCGAAGATGCATCGACCTCCCTTTCCTTTTGTATCAAACTATTTTCGCTTTCATCAGAAAAATCTCTTGCTTCTAAGACAAGCCAGAGTTTACATAAAATATTATAAAATAAACAACTGGGTTATTACGCTTTATTTTAGATTGACAGTATTTGTGCTCTCCAGTGGCTTAACAGCAGAACAGATGTTTTGAAAAACATGTGGTTCAATTTACTTCCACTACTGACTGATGTTTTTACAAAAATAAGTGTTATTCATCCAACTTAATTTGTTCTAATGCTAACAATTGGACTGAGAAATACAGAAACACAAGGGAACACACACAAACTTAAAATTGAACTAATATGTGAGGCCATCTACCCCCCAACACACATACATATTTCTACATTTGAAGTCTCCTTTTACACAAACTCAAAAATTCCACCCGTACCTCTGGATTTCTAACAAATTCTTAAGGAGAAAACTGGGTCTAGCCTATGGTTAAAACCCAAATTTGTAGTGAATTAACCTTTGGAAGAGCTAATTTCATGGCTAAACTTACGTCTGTCTGCCAAAGAAATGTTCTTTTACTTTTAATCTGTATAACTACTTGTTGCCAAGAAGGCTGATATACAGCTCTCTCCCTGCCCTTAGGTCCACACTGAATGTACAAACATTCCATTCTAGACAGGCCAATTGTTAAGTAATTGAAGGAGACCAGAGATGCCAACTGATTGACAACTGAACCGTATGGTGATCTGAGTAAACTTAGAATGAGCAAAGAAGGGGTGTGTGTGGGGGGGGGCGTTAAGTATTGACACGAATTGCAATGGGGGAAATGTCTATCATTTGATAGGTGCAGTTTCTGATATTTGTCTATATTTTAGAAGCTAAGCTCAGTTTTACAGAGCCCTGATCCATCTGTCCACACACTGTCTTCTTTCTCCTCTGTACTTAGAAACTACACACCACAGTTTTGCAAATGAAGAATCTAAATTATTACTGCTGAAAAATACTGCTCAGAAACATCCCTTCTTCTCTGAGAATGTGGAAACCCAAAGGCCCAGATTCATTCAGGGACACACACACACACACACACACACACACACACACTCACAGAGAGGGGGAGAGGGAGAGGGAGAGGGAGAGGGAGAGGGAGAGGGAGAGAGAGAGAGAGAGAGAGAGAGAGAGAGAGAGAGAGAGAGAGAGAGAGAGAGACTGGGTTTCTGGGCTTTCTTTCCTATTATGTTGAAACAGTACTGACATGGGCACATTCTGGGATTATCTGGTCCCAGCCTACTGAACTCAGATGGCAGGGTCACAACCAGATACTCAAATTGTAAATATCCTCTGTTAAAGTGGGGAAAAAGAGAAATCTGGCTTCTTACCGTCATCAGGATGTTCTCTGGCCTTGTCATGGTAGGTCTCCTGAGAGGGCTGTGCTTGCCTGACCACCTAATGGCATGGGTAGCCACCCCCAAAAGAAAGAAGAACATCTTAGAGTTGGTAACAGTTATGGTGTGTCTGCTGGTAATTCAAAGAAAGACAGGCTAGGCTTGATTGAGTACAGGAAAATCTTTTCAAAGTGTATTTTTGAGTGATGTTTTAAGTACTCGGGATCAAAAGGTAAAAATGGAAGCAAAAAAAAAAAAAAAAAAAAAAAAAAGAATAAGAATGTGGGATGACCTGTCCTGCTCTAACAATCCATCTTCTAGGATATGTTAGCCCCTTGGTTCACTTTGACAGGATCTGACTAAATGCCACCAGGATACAGTAACTGAAAATGAGATCTGGAAATGTAAACAAAACAACCCACTTTGCTGAGGTCTTAAGGAAATTGCCTAAAAGGCTTCCTAGCCTAGCCGGATCTGCGTTCACTTACAACTTAAAGGCTGAATGCTATGAGGCTATCAGAGTAGAACTGGTCTGTGGTTAAAGGGAGGGAAAATTGAGAGTCGGGTTACAGACACCTAAAAGGTAGCCCAGTTAATATCAGTTTTGGTAAGCGCCACCGACCCGACTCAACCACGTGCAAATCAGCGGTATCAGCCCTTCACCATCTTCCGTGGAAGATGCACAGTTCAAACTCCCAACCCCAGTAGTTTTCGGTTTCCAAAACACTGCTTTTCTCTTCCTACTAGTAAACCGTGGAAACGTGAGGTGGCTGGAAATCTGTGGACTACTCTATTAGAGGCCACTCTGGCAAAAAAGTCCCAGAGGTTAGGTAGTGTGTGATTCTTTGAACCTGTGTCCTCCAGGCGACCTCGTTCTTCAGGCACACAGAGATTTTTTTTAAACTTCATTTTGACTGCACACTAGCCACCTTCACTTACTTTTTGCTGGACTTTGGGAACAGAGAGCCCTCTTATATTCTAGGAACGAACCTTCCCCCTCCCCCCCCCCAGCCTTCTCAAATGCGTACTCACCCCTGCCATCGGGACAGAGAGGGTAGGTAACTCTGAGGTGTTCTTAAAGGTACTCTTTAAACCCAAAATGTCCCCGCCCCCGAAACCACCCTTCCTTTGGGGTGGGGGCAGAAGCCTGCCATTTAAGGAAAACGGTTTACTCTCCAAGTTTCTCTGGGAGGAAAAAACGTTGGGGACATCATTTGGCTATCAGAACTTTTCTACTGGATGTCCCCGTGAGGTTTCCCCAGCTGCTGAGCCAGAGCGGCCGCTGAGGTGTGGGCTTTGGGGATCTACGCCCATCCGATGCTCGCGCGCGGCCCGGCTCTCTGCTCTCTCGCGCTGGCACCCACGTGGCTCTATTTACTCTACTCGGGTTACCAGCGCCATCGCCTGCAGCTGGCCCCTAGATCTGATAAAGCGTGTCCCTCCTCCCCAGCCGCGGCCCGGCTTCCGCTGCTGTCGCCTGGCTCTCGGGCTCGCCTTTCTTCTGCAGAGATCCAAGGCCTTGCTAACCCCAAATAAACGCCCTTCTTTCCACTTTAAGTGCCGGGGTTGCGGGCGGAAGCACTGCGGTGGCTATGCTGTTGGGTGGCTCGGGTCGGCTCGCCCACGGCTCCCCGCAGCAGCCTAGCCGGCTTGGGGACCCGGCCCCGCAACGCCCCCACAGTTGGGGCGCGCGCCCTACCCCGTGGCGGTTGGGACGGCCCCTCCTGGCCGGCCCACGCCCGCCTCTTCTTCCTCCCGCCTGAGGCTCCGCTCCTAGGAGCCTCGGTGGTTTAACGCACTTTTGCACACTGTACCAAGAAAGCTAGCGGATGCACTTTGTGTTCTATCTACCCTAGGATGGACTTCGCAGTCGTGTTCAGACATCTCTGCTTTTAATGCATGGCGCCCCTCAGCCCGGCTGAAACGTCGGAGGACGAAACCGGTCGGGTAAAGGCCAGCGTTTCCTGCCCATCCACTACCGTTTAGCCACAGACCCACTTGGAATAAATTTCCCTGCCCGCCGCTCACACACGTGCGCACCGTGGACCAGGGGCCGTTATTCCCCGCCCAGCCCGAGGGACCAGGGCGCAGAGGCCAAAGTGGCCGCGCGCTTAGCTTGCTTCCTCCCTGCGTCCCCTGGACCCGTCACGCCTCTCGGGACAGCGGCCCACTCACCTCATGCCCGTTGCTGGCTGGGATGATTTCGGACTCGTTAACCAAGGATGACTTGATGTCGGCTAAATCTCCCTCTTCTTCAGGGTGACTGATCTCGGCAAAAATCTTCTCTTTCTGGGGATCGCCCTCATCCTTGAAGGGGATCATCTCATCGGTGGCGCAGAGTTCCGGGTCCCCCCCGCCGCCGCCTCCAGAGAGTTGGGGCATCCCGGCGGCTCTGTAATCTCCGCTCCGCTGCGGGAGCACTCAGCGATGGCAGGAAGAGAGGGGGTCGGTGTGTGTGTGGGTGAGAGTTGGAAGACTGAGTGTGGGAAGACTATGAATGGAAGAGGGATGGGAAAGCGAGGGGCCCGCTGCCGGAGCAGCTGCAGGAGCCCTGCGATTGCGACGCTTTCCCTCTTCACCCGGGGCGAAGGGCACCAGACTGCGAGGGCGGCAGTCGCCGGCGCCTCTGAGAGCGTCTGCGGCGATCCGCGTGCGCTAGGCTAGGCTGCCAAGGCCGGGTGGCCACCCCGCCTTGCTGGGGTCTATGCGCCGAGAACGCTGGTTCCGGAGGGGATACGACTTTCCAAAGTGCAGAGGAGGGTCCCGTGGCGCGTCACCGTGCAAAACTTCTCCACTGTGGTTTCCTCGGATGCCGATTTCGGAGTTGGTGTTTTCGAGAAGCTGAGAGCTGGGCCAAAAGGCTCCGTTTGCCCCAGCAGAGGTGCGAGGAGAATCAGAAAATACCGAAAAGTCCACTTCCTGAAGGGTAAACAATAAAGAGCCACCCGGGCTGCAGACGTCCGTGTTAGAGCTTTCCTTCCCTTTCGCTTCGGTTTTCCTTCTGGAGGAGCATTTAATCTGCTGGGGGGAGGGGGGACGGAGGAGGAGGGGAGAGAAAAAGAAGTTTGCCAAGAATAAAGTTTGTGCTGGTGAGCTCTGGGAATCGACAGTGGCTGGCACGGCGTAATCTTGGGGAGTCACAGCAGGAGCCTCGGGCCCAAATGTTCCAGCCCGCAGCTCGGGCCGATACACACACACGCACACGCACACACGCACGCACACACACACACACACACACACACACACACACACACAAGCCCGATTCCTCTTTGTTCCCGGCTCGAATTTCTGCCTGGCTCGCTGGCGCTGTTACTCGCCTCTTTCCCCGCCTCCCCTCTGTCAAAGCAAAGAGCTGCCGGTGGCCCCTCGGCTCCTCCAGGCCCGGGCGGGGAATACCCGGAGCGCGGCCGCTTGCAAGGCTCCGGGCGAGTCCGGATGCCAGGGCCCACGGGAGCGCACCCGGGTCCCTCCTGTGCGCGCTGCCCAGCAGGTGAGCGGTTGCGCCTTCCCACCGCTTCTCCTCGGCGCGCCTAGCCGGCGCTGCAAAGCTATTCACTTGCGTCGCTTCTCCTCCCCCGCCCCTCCCCCGCCTCCTGCTCTCCTTGGCTGCTGGCTGGAGGGGTGGGGATGAGGGAGTCTGCTAGGAGGAGGAGGAGATCCAGGTTCTCCCCCAGCTCTAGTACATTTCCCAGCACCTGGAGGACAAGTCATAGTTTGGGGGGCGCCGTGGGGGTGCATTCGCGGGCGCGCGCTCGTGCATGTCTGGAGGGGAAAAAAAAAAAACAACCAAACCCCTCAACCTGGAGAAGGACAGGGTGCTGCTTGTAACCCACCCAAAGCACGCTGTGGCCAAGGAGAAATTGACAAGAAACTCTACCTGAACGGCTTAACTTCATCATCTAAGCGTCTCTTCTTCTCTTACCCCACTCACTCCTGTCCCCTTTGCCAGCCTCTCCCCCACCTCCTTTCCGCCCGCCCACTCTAGCCCCCTCACTCAGGCAAGGGGAGGAAGATGAAAGAGAAAGCCGCGGGCGCTGTGGTCGACACCACGTTGATAGATGCTCTGACAGAGGGAATGAGGCGAGAATTAGGGACTAGGAGAAGGGAAAAGAGAAAATGTAACTCCTTGCTCACCTAACCAGAGAGAAGAGACGCAACAAGCAGGAGAAAAAGAGTTGTGACTGTGTGGCGTGTACAATATCGCACTCTCTTCGGAGACAAGGGGAACATCTCCATCCTTACCAGGGAGAGAGGACCAGGAAGGAGGAGGTGAATGAAGACTGAACCTTAATTATCGCTTCTAAAACACTATCGCTTTCATTGTGCCCTTACCATCGGATGGACGTGGGTTTTCCTTCGGCTATGCAAGACTCAGTGTGTAGAGACCTCGCAGAAAATGAAAATACGTCCCAAAACGAGGGAAAAGAAGGACCTAGGAGAGGGAGGCATGACTGCACAATTGCTGACATCCTGGACAACAACGCTGAAAGAGACTCTTGAGGATGTAAATCCGAATCCAACCTCAAAAAACCTCCCAGTTCCCACTGTCTCTTCGATGCATTCTGTAAAAGAATGGGACTTTTAAGGGAGACGCTTTGTGAAAGTTACTGTGTAAGTGAGACTTAAGTTTGGAAACGTGACATTTTTGTCCTTTAGTTCTCAAGTCCTCCCCGCAGTCAAATGTTCAGGCGAAATTATCACACCAGTGCAGTAGCCATCTGTAAAACCTGGGGACAGTAAACAGGAGACGGGAAGAACTGTATCTCCATCTTCCTTAAGTTGAAAATAAAACACAGAATTATGTGTTAGTGCCGTTACATAAGAAAGCTCAGGCAAAGATCTGTCTTTTAAAGGTGAAATTGTGGGCTATTGGACATTGTAGACCTTAACCATTCTTTAAGTAAGCATTTAAAGCTTAGCTCACTGATAACTACCAGTCTGGGAGCTTGCTAGGGTGTAGTTTACAAAGCTATATATCAGTTCAGTTGGTCCCATGGGTAATATGTAATTAATAGGTAATATGTCCCAACCCGTCGTGTGTAAACTGATAGATTTAGGAACAATTAAGAGGCTGGTGAAAGAAGTCAGAAAAACGAAAACTTTTAGAAATTAACTAATCGACAAAGCCATGCCTTACAGAAGAAAACCAAAAATGGCATTTTACTTCAAGGTGTCAGGGATAATTGTAATGAGGGTTGGGAATGAATCCATTTTTATAGTGATGGTATGTAACCTCCATCGCTGTTAGTATGGTAGACGGTGAGAGGGGAAACACAGTTTTAGACATTTACAGCTCCTGCTAATGTAAATTTAACAAAGTCAGAATTCCTCCTCCGAGTGCGCCAATTGGACTGAGCAAAAGAACCCTAGAAGATGCAGTTTCATCAAAGCAGCCTGAGTAGATCGGTCCTTTTCATCAGACCCAGAGGGGGAGGGGGCAAGAAGAATGGCCAGAGGGTATTTTCTGAAAGCCAAGAGGAGATTAAATGACGGCTCTACATCTTCCCTGTTTAAGTGTTGCAACTAATTCGAATTCCCATTTTCTCCTTCGCGTTAATTATCTGGACTCTGTGAGTCATACCGAGCTCAGCTCCAGGTGTCCCGGAGATTAGGAGCTCAAGAAGATGGGAAATTTTGGCGCAGTACCTAGTGAGAACGGCTTACAAACAAACTGAGATAGGTGGGTGCGTTTGGTACCTTGCGGTTACCCTCCTTTGAAACACTGGCTCTAACGAAATCACCTAACGGCCTCGCCCTTTACGCGCGGCGGTGAGTGGTCTCCCTGGTGTGCTGTCTTTAGCAGTGCTGCAAGCCTTAACTGAGGCCCCTCTTAAAAACCATGCGTCCACATGTTTTAAAGCGTTGTCGGTAAAGGAAGGTGACTTTCCCTTGGTGGAGTCTTAAGAGAGAAAAGCAGGGAGATAAAGGAGGGGCGAAGTAACCTCAGGAAGTGGTGTCTCTGGACTTCGCCTTCCTGGCCAAGGCATTCCTGCCGCCTAGCAGTCTATCCTAATTCCTGTGGGGCTGTTATTAGCATAAGCAGCCGCTTCTTCGCCTCTTGGGGTAGGGCGAGTGAGACCCTAGGTCTGGGATGTGGTGGGTGCAGTGCAGAAGTAGCCTCGCCGCCCCCTTTCCTGGGATGTAGAGGCAGGTTGTTCGTGTGAACTCTAGCGAACCACTGGAGGTTGGCTGTAGTAGGCTTACTCCTTCAGGATGTGGGTTTCAGGGGGCGTTTTGATGTGATTTAATTCCGACCGTGAAACAATTGCTAGGGGCTGACTGCGTTGCTGTTGGTTTTTCCCCTCCTGGTGGCTTTGGCTTTAGTTTTGGGAGCGAACTTGTTTTATAGCAACACTTCCTTTTGCATAAGGCGCTGTCGCCGGTGCTGTGCCTCTCAGTGGGGGTGGGAACAGGGAGTGTTAGAGGGGGCGAGGCGCCCAACCCCAGCCGGAACCCAAGCTTCGGGGAACACAGTTGGCTGAACTTCCCCGAGGTGAGCGTAGCCCAGTGCGCCGCGGGGGGGGGGCGGCGACGTGGGTGTAGACAGGAGGAATAACCCACACCAGAAGACCCCCACACACACACTTAGCGTTTTGCAGCCAAGTGGAGTCCGCTGCAGACCGTCCAGAGTCCTTTAATTACAGGGATGAGAAGCGCAATGCCCCCGCACAGCCCTCTCCGCCCCCTAGGTCCTAACCCCAGCCCAGGCTCCGGGTCTTCCCTTTGTGTGGCCTGGACTCTCTGCCAGCTGCAACCTAGGTGGGATCCCAAAGGAAGGAGGTGGCGGGGCCTACGGAAGAGGATGCTCTGAAAGACAGACGAGAAGGGACTAGAAAAACGAATTCATGTGATTTCAGGGGCGGAAACGAGAGCCCGGTTTCCCACCCCAGCTTCGGCAGGAGGCTCAATCTGTGGGCACCTTCAGTTTAACCGACGTCGCGGAGAAGGGGGACAAGGGAAGTGGCAGTTTGTGTCCCAGGGGCTCTTCCGCCTTAGACAAACAAACCCAAAGCCCCTTCCTCCAGGGCCAAGGAACTCGTGGGACCGTGAAACCTTCTCCAATCCGGCGCCAGCAGACGCCCGGTTTCCGCGCGGCCGGCGCCCGCCGGTTGGCGTCTGTAGCTCGGTGCGGCCTCCCGCGCGGGCGTGCGGGCAACTCGAGCGCGAGGTCGGCGGTGCGGTCAGCCCTGTGCGACCCCCTAGCAGGGTGGAGGGAGCCCCATCCACTCTGGGACATGAGATGTCAAGGCCAGGCTGGAGTGCCAGCCCCAACGCCGGGAAGGCGCAGAAGGCTGGCTGAGGACAGGCGGTGGAGGGGACAGGGGTGGGGTAGGGGGTGATCGCAAGGCAACAGAATGAGTCCAAGGGGGTGCAGAGGCTCAGCTCTACCCCAGGAAGTCGAGACCCCCCCACCCGAGGAGCCCGCATGACATGGGTACAGGAGGGATGCCGCACATGGACTTCGGCTCTGGAACACACGTGCCAGTCGGGGAACCGCTAGTCTGGGGGGGCTCGAACATCACATCCTTTTCTTCCATTTCTCAAAACTTTTCTCTCTCTCGCCTAAATGTGGCGTGGGCATCGGCTTTCTGGAAAGCACGCCCCTTCGGTCCCTCTCCCGGTCCCTCTGCCCCCTCCGTTCGCCCTGGAGCCGGGACGCGCGCGGAAGGGCCGCCCGCGCGCGCAGGGCTCGTCTTATATCGGCGGAGGGCGGCGCCTGCGCAGGGCCCGGCGCGGCGGCGCGGCCTTTGAAGTCGCGGCGGCTGCGGCTTTCATCCTTTCTTTTTTCCCTCTCAGGCCCCTTTGTGTGACTAAATTTGGCAAGAATATGGATCCCAGCCAGTCTTTCCACGTGTGCTCCCAGCTCCCAGCTGAGAAGGCCAAGGGTTCTCTTCCGGGTAAGGAGACAGGGAGAAAGATCAAAGAGTTTGGGGAGCTGGATCTGAAATGTGAATTGAAAATAAAAATCAAGCCTGGACACATTCCAGTTTCTAAAGCAAAACCAACCCTCTGCAGAGGCCATCTCGCTATGGCGCTCTTTCTCTCTGCTCCCTTTTGCCCCCCTCCCCCCCTTTTTCCCCTTCTCGAAATCACTGGAGCACATGGGATAAAATAAAGACAACATAGGGAAGCACTTAGAGTCTCCAGATTTTGTTTTGCAGTAATTTTATTAGGGAAAATATCTTGTTCATAATTACCGTTATGTGAGGCCAAATTTCTTCGGCCATAAATATTGTCTTCTTCCAGCATGCTTCACACTTTCTTCTGTGGCCACAGTTTTTGAGCGATAGCGCCTACACACCACGTGTGCACGTACTGTTCATCCTGCTTTTTAACCCCTCTACACACGCTTACGGTGCACTGTCTGCTTCTCCCACAGAAATTAAATTCTAGAAAACTGATGTTAATAGCATTCTTAATTGCTTTCCCAGTTGGTCTCTATGGCTTGAAATTGTCTCATTGGTAGGTCTACCCACGTGTTTCCACAGAAGCATTTGTGCCTATCGTGAAAAGCCTGTAAGCTGTCTTCTCTGACACACTGCTTGAACGAGGTCTGTGCAGACACATTTTCCTGATAGTGTGACTCTCCCCAGAGCCTGTTTTAGAATATCA